CCCAGAACACCTGATTGTGCTCAAGTGAAACCCATACTTGGACCAGGAGGCAGTCATAGAACAGAGCAGAAGAACACTACATGGTTCAAAATAAGAAAAGGAGTGTGTCAGGGATGCATCCTGCCCCCATACCTTTTCAATTTGTATGCAGAACAAATCATTCGAGAGGCTGGACTTTATGAGGAGGAATGTGGTCATCAGGATTGAAAGAATACTTAACAGCAACCTGCGTTATTCAGATGACGCAACTTTACTGGCTGAAATAAGAAGGTTCTGAAGCATTTCCTTCAGAGGACCAAGGACTGTAGTTTGCAATATTAAAGCTCAACATCAAGAAAATGAAGATTCTTACAACTGGGCCAATTGGCAGCATCATAATGGATGGAGAAGAGATTGAGACTGTTAACAGTTTCAGTTTACTTGACTCCAAAATCAACACTTTTGGCACCAGCAGCCAAGAAATCAAAAGACAAATTGTATTTGGAAAATCTACTGTCAGGGACCACTCCAGAGTGCTGAAGAGCAAGGATATCAGTCTATAGATGAAGGTTTGTCAGATCCAGATAATTGTCTTCATAATTACTTATTATGCATCAGAGAGCTGGTCAATGACTAAAAATGACAGAAGAAGAATTGATGCCTTTGAGTTGTGGTGCTGGAGAAGATTATTGAACATATCATGGACCGTTAAGAGAACAAGCAGGTCTGACCTAGAGAAGGTAAAACCAAGCTGCTCCTTGGAGGCAAGGATTTTGTGACTCTGTCTCACATACTATGGCCATGTAGCCAGGAGGGACCATTCTTTGGACGACTGGAACAGCACATCAGCAGAGAATTGCCAGAAGTCCAGGCTGGGTTTAGAAGGGGTCATGGTACTAGGGATATTGTAGCTGATGTTAAATGGATCTTAGCTGAAAGGAGGAAATACCAAAAGAATGTCTATCTGTGTTTCATTGATTATGCAAAGGCGTTTGACTGTGTGGGAATCCCAGAACATTTAATCATGCTAATGCTAAACCTATACTTGGACCAAGAGGCAGTCGTCAGAACAGAGCAGGGTAACACTGCATGGTTCAAAATTGGGAAGGGTGTACACCAGGGATGTATCCTATCTCCATACCTTTTCAACCTGTATGCAGAACAGATTATCCGAGAGGCTGGGCTCTATGAGGAGAAGTGTGGCGTCAGGATTGGTGGAAGATCTATTAACAATCTGTGTTTTGCAGATGACACAACCCTGCTTGCTGAAACTGAGGTGGACCTGAAGTGCTTGCTGCAGAGGGTCAAGGACTGCAGCCTTCAGTATGGACTAAGGTTCGATGTCAAGAAGACAAAGATTCTCACCACTGGACCAATTGGTAGCATCAGGATGGATGGTGAAGAGATTGAGATTGTTCACAGCTTCAGTTTACTCGGCTCCACGGTCAACACTCTTAGCACCAGCAGCCAGGAAATTAAAAAAAACGTATTGCGATGGGAAAGTCTGCTGTTAATGACCTCTCTAAAGTACTGGAGAGCAACGGTGTCTCTCTGGACACTAAGGTGCACCTGATACAGGCCATGGTCTTTGCAATCACTTGTTATGCATCAGAGAGTTGGACAATGACTAGGGAGGATAGAAGGAGAATTGATGCCTTTGAGCTGCAGTGCTGGAGAAGAGTATTGAATGTACCATGGACTGCCAAGAAAACAAACAGATTCATCCTAGAGAGGGTTAAACCAGGCTACTCCTTGGAGGCAAGGATTCTGGGGCTTCATCTGACATACTTTGGACATGTTGTAAGGAGAGACCGGTCCTTGGAGAGCGACATCGTGCTTGGGAGGGTGGAGGGACAGAGCAGGAGGGCAAGACCCTCTCTGAGGTGGATTGATTCAGTGACTGGGGTAATTGGGATGGGTGTGTCAGAGGCAGTGTGATTGGCACAGAATAGAGCAGGATTTACGGCTGTTGTACATAGGGTCATTATGAGTCGCAAACAACTCGACGGCACATAACAACAACAAACAACAACATCATACTTGGAATGATGGGGGGACAGCACAGGAGAGGAAGACTCCAGAGAAGATGGATTGACACAATAATGGGATAGAGGAAGGTTTAGTGCTATTGTGCATAGAATCTTTATGAATCCACCGCATATAACAACAACAGCAAAGTTGTTGTGATGTGTCATGCAGTCAATTATAACTGCTTATGACCCTATGGACGATATATCGGGAACCTTGTCCTATTTTACGCTTGAGCCCATTGTTAGACACACTATGCCAAAGAAAGCAAATGAGCATTGTCATGAATTTGGTAAATAAGAGAAGCTCTTAGGTTTCCTAGGAAGGCAATACAATTTTAAAATTACCTGAGAATGGCTTCATAAGCAGACTTTAGGATGGCAGCTTTACATGGACAAATATAAGAGGGAAGCTTGAACTCCTACAATTGCATGTTAGGGGCTAAGGTCCCACATTGAAAGGAGGAAGAGAGAGATTGCAGGCAGCCACTCTTTGAGACGTTTGAAGTCCAAATATCTCTGAGTGCCAAAATTTGTCTCATCTGTCTAAATCAAGATGGACATTTAAATAGTTCACACAACTGTTATTATATGCCAGTGAGTGGAAAACCAGCTCACAGTTGAGTCTTCAGCTGGTTTTCAGAGACTGTAAAACACATAGCAGGAGACTGCTTGTCTTTCTCTGGAGGAGCAACTGGTGGGTTCAACTTGCTGGCCTTTGGGTTGGCAGCACAATTCCTTACCGTTAAGTCACTTGAGCAGAGATTACTGAATGTTAAAATTTAACCTTGTGAATCTCCTGCTTTGTTGGTCTTTGGTCTTTGTTAATTCTTTTTTTAATTTTATTTTGGTCTTTGTTATTTTTTAAAGGAAGGGTGTTGCTATTTAAGATTATCATTTATTTCAGGGAAAAGAAGTAAAAGTATCATTTATTTTCATAGGGAGTGATACCTATAAGTGCCTGAACTCCACAAAATTGTTTCGAATTATAATAATCTTACCAATTTCTATACATCATTTTAGTGAAATAAAGTATGTGAGTTACCTGTCTCTGACAGATTTACCCCGTATACAGGTTTTAGTTTTTGCACATCTTACTGTATTTTCCTTGAAGTTTTATTAAGTACCATCTAACAGAGTCATCCTGGAAAGGGTCAAACTGGGCGGCTCCTTGGAGGCAAGGATTCTGAGGCTCTAACATACTTTGGACATGTAAGGAGGGACCGATCCTGGGAGAAGGACATCATGCTTGGGAGGGTGGAGGGACAGCGCAGAAGGGGAAGGCCCTCTATGAGGTGGATTGATTCAGTGACTGGCGTAATTGGGATGGGTGTGTCGGAGATGGTGCAATTGGCACAGGACAGAGCGGAGTTTAGGGCTGTTGTACATAGGGTCGCTATGGCACATAACAACAACAACAACAACAACAACAACAACAACAGTGTTCTTTACCTGGGGCACCCACATCTCCTCTTGAGTGTCATGGAATATAAACTATCCCCAAACTGAATGTCCAGGTGGCTCCCGGATCTTGAAGGCGTTCTCTTCCTAAATCTGTCGTTAATCTGAATTTTTGTGTAACTTAAAAAAGTAATCTCAGTTAGTCTAATGTTTATTTTCTTACTGCCATCAGATCGGAATCTACCTACGGCTGATCCTCCAGAGGATTTTCAGAGACTGTATAAACCCCATTGTTCAAGGGGAGGTTGCTCATCTTTCTCCTGATGAGCAGCTGGTGGATTCAAAGCACTTAGCTTTGAGGTGGCAGCAAAACTCCTTCGCCTCTAGGCCACCAATGCCTGTGTTAGTGTGTCATAATGTAACTTTCTACGCATTAAAAAAAAAAAAGAAATAGAACAAAACGAAAAAAAAAAAAAAGAAATAGAACAAAACGGTAATAATAAAAATGATGTTTTAATGTGCATACAATGTGGCATCTGTTATTATGAACCACTGTATGTACTTTGAATTTTTAGCTTAATAAGTTTTACAAGGAATAGTTCATAATTATGAGTTGTATGTATTTCGAACTTTGTAAACCAGCTCTTTGTTGGTAACAAGGGTTTTGGTTTTTACAGATAAAAAGTTTCGAAAGTCTGCGGACAGATTTTCCTTCCCAATTGTACTTGGTTCGAACAGTAGAAACAGAAGGATGTTCATATCTCAAAATGTAATTTTATTTGTCAGGTTAATAAAAAAAGAGGAAGACATTTATGAATCATTTGGAAATGAGTTTTTTATTAAAAGTAATCTGAAAATACTCTTGAAGGAAAAATTTGGCATATTTGCTCATTATTTCAGGATAAATCCCACAATGGTACGAGGAATTAAATCGCCTCGCATGCATCCTTTAAAAATTGTACTCCTGGGGGAGCTCTGGTGGCCTAGTGGCAAGGAGCTGCAACTACAATCCCAGAGGCGCATGGTTCGAATCCACCAGATGCTCTGCCGGGGAAGGAGGGGCAATCTCCTCCTGTACCAGTCAGATCTGATTTGACGGTACACGCACACAAAATAATAAAATAAAATAAATATTAAAAAAAAAATTGTATTCCTGTCTCTTTAACAAACTGAAAGGGAGAAAGGGGTTGGGCCTCCGGAGCAGCAAGATCTCTGATTGGCTGTGCTGGCAGGAAGTGGGCGGTGAAAGCGCTGTTTCTGTTATTGTCCGAGGCTGCGGGGGTGAGAGTCCTGGCGGGCTTGGGCTTCGGGCAGGCGCTGTCCACTGTTCTTCGTGTCGCGAGTCGGGGAGCGTGGGGTGCAGACGCAGTCCCTTTCTCCCGGTGGTTTCGGGGCCCTGGCAGCCTTCTCGCGGTGGTGCCGCTGTCTCGCGGGACCACGGTGGAATCGGGGTCCGCTGGGACCGCCGAGGCCGCTTAGTGGCCCCGGCCCCGGAGGGAAGGTGCTCTCTGGGCGCCCGCTGCGACCCGCTCCGCTCCACCTGGCCCCGCATCTCAACCTGGGTTGTCTCTTCCCCCTGTTCTGCAGGCTCGCTTCCGGCGCCATGGCTCAAAGGGCCTTCCCGAATCCTTATGCCGATTATAACAAATCCCTGGCCGAATGCTACTTTGATTCTACCGGGAGGGTGAGTTTGGGGTCTCTCCGCCGCCATCCCCACATCCCCTCCCGCGTTCAGAAAAGACTTTTAAGATCTCCATAAAAGAACGGGATGGATATCCCTTTGGGAAAAAAAAAAAACAAACCAAACACCTAGACACACAGCTTACTTGAGGGAAGAGCTATAAATACGTAAAATGCATATTAAAATACATAAGGGGAACAGTGAAATAAGTGTTGAATGCCTGTGAGACAAGGTCTCGTTAATATTACAGCTCATAATGGAGGCAATAGTCTTGGCTGATGAGAATATAAATTGTAAAAATTGATAGTTCACCGTGTAAGTTTGGATTTTTCCATCCATTTTGCTTTGTTTCTTAAAGAGAACTGAGAATCCTACTGGTCGTCGCATATGTTCCTTTATAAATATGTCCATGTGTCTAGACATGCAGGTACTGAGCAGGGAAGAGAGGTGTAAACCCATCGGGTGGTGGAAGACATCTTTAAAAGCAAAGTGCTAGATTTGGGATATAGACATAAAATCTTCTATGCCATTGACATTACTTCCCAGGGCCTTATCACAGCTAAAAAAAAAATTAAAATAATAATAAAGTACAATAAACTGGGAGTGTTTTATAAGCCACTTTGCAACAGAGAACGTGGAAATGGTGCTAAGATGCTGATCAGGAAGTGTGCTGTGTGAACCTGCCATCTGTTCAAGAGAGAAAGATGTGGCAGTCGGCTTCTCAGTAGATTTATCGCTTTGGAAACTCTAGGAGACATTTCTCCTCAGTTCTGTAAGGTCTCCATAAGTCAAAATCAACTCCAGGACAATGCATTATTTTCTTAGACTTCTTTGCGTGAACACAGTTGCTCTGAGAGAATATAGTTTTTTAAGTGTACTGAATACTGCCAAATCCCAATGGTTTCTTAGGTTGGAAGAGTGATCTCTCTGTTTCAACACGTAGTTTCTTTTTCATAAAAACTTTATTTTATTCTGGTTTACTTACAAATTCTGTATACGTTGCTTTTCTCATAGATTCTTTCACATTTCCTTAACCCACCCCACCCTCCACCCATCAGATTGTGAGACCCTATGATTACGCGCCACCCCATCCTAACCCCTGTGCACCCCCCCATCGACCCCTTAGATCCTCATACACATTTTTCTGGTTATTTATTTCTACAATAATGGTCTTAGACAGTATTTGTCCTTATAGGATGGAGTGACTTCACTTAGCATAATGCTCTCTAGTCCTTCCCAAGTTAGGTAATGATTTTGAAAATCATCACTCCTGTAAACACTCAAAGTTCTTGACTTTACCATTTCCCCGCTTAAACTTGCTGGTTATTTACACACACTATGACAACTTTTTCAATCCTGTTAGCTGTTTGAGTTGACTTTCTTTGACTTTGTTCTTTCCCTAAAGCACTTTTCATTAGAGGTTAACGTGGGTAAATGATGCAGAGAGGAATGATGGAAGAGATGCATCAACACGCATATGGATTGAGAGACAATCTCATTGTTTTAGGGCCAGAATTTCAATTGCCAAAGCAAAGCATTTGGTGATTATGTTGGGCTCAGGTGGCTTCCTTTTGGCTATTTGGGTGTGTGTTTCGCCTAGCTCTGCAAATGCTGAAGCCAGAGTATATGTCTTGTCTTGTTGAAGGAAGATGTGCCCGTTTGTGCTGACTTGTCAAAGAGCATTGGAGGGTGTGTGCTATTGAGGGAGCCTTTAGTAAAATGCAGCTCGTTATTTAGACTGCTTGCAACGTAAATCCCTTTACAAGTTTAACTCTTTAAGGGAGTAATAAAGTTCAGCCAATGTCCCCTGGCCCCAGAATAAACGCAGGATTTATTATCTAACTCATAGCGGGTTTTTTGGAGATCCTAGAAGACATGAGCATATTGGTGCTAAAATTGTTTAAAGTTGAACACCAAAAAAAGGATCCCAGATACCTGTCCTTAATTTATTAACACAAAGATTCGTTTTCTGGCATCTGTCAGGACAAGAGCTTTTAGAAGCTCTTCACATTATTGAATAGTTTGGTGATTTGCCCCAAACAGTCCATTTTCTGCGGCAAGGCACCTTTGTAAATAAATGCAGTGTGTGCAAATAACAGTGCACATCCCTTCCTGAAGATTCTTATTATTCTCTGTCTCTTGACGGAGTGCCAGGCAAGATGATGAATTATCCATGATCTGTGTACAGAAGACTGCATGTTCCTGGGTAGATGCACTCTTCTCTCTAGTTGAGATTGATCGATCTTTCCTATTAATATTATGTTTTATCTAACCAGATATATTCTCTAAGCTTTTAAAAATCTTGACCTCTTGGCAGAAACTGCTAAATAATGGGACTATGTCCCTCAAACAGTGTGTTTTCTGCTTCCAATTGTGGTGGAGATAGTAGTGCTCTAGAATAAATGAGCCCAGTGTGGTCTGACTTAACAGAAACAGTCCTCAGAAGTCAAAATGAATCTGTCCTCAGTGTTAGTCTTTTAATTCCGATCTGCTTCCTTACTGTGTTTAATATTCAGGTGTACCTGTTTTTTTAAAAGGAGATTGTGATGTAACAGACAGTTGCTAAGTTTGTTCCTATAGTCCTTAACATGGTGAAAGATCTGTGGCCCTGTAACATTCTGCTACTTGTTTAGAAATTTCCTTGCACTGTGAAATCCTGAAGATTCCTGAAATTACTGAGGAATAAATACATTTAAATAACTTATTAAGACTTTACAAGTTAGAATATTAAAAACTTAAATAATATTTTATTATCACCTTTAGGAAGATAAACATAGTGAATGATTGAGCTCTCAGTTTTACCAGAGTTTGCTGGATCTTTTATAGGGATGTTTTTAGTTTCAGAGTCCCAAATCCAAATCATTACTTGTCCTAAATCTTTGGATTGCTTAGGAATAGTATAAATCTCTTGGACCCAGAACTTGTAACACATGGTCTCATTTGATCTTGCTCCACTTTGTTTGGTATAGGCACATGCTGTTCATAGCCATGGAGTTGAGCACAATACATAGCGACCCTAGAAACAGAAGACCTGAAGCCTTTCTATAACTATCAGTGTTTCTCAAAGTTCATAGCGTTTCCAGAGGCATGTTGTTTAGGAAGTGGATGCCATTCCTGCTGTTAATGTAATTATCATTATTATCCTGACTTCATGGAAATAATTGAAGCAGAAAGAAGTTATGCATTGAATAAGATCATTCAGCTAATCAGATAAAGGTAGACCCCGACTGAGCATGATATTAAACCCTATTGTGGTACGTTGACACAGTGACTTCAGCAGTGGACTCTAGTGTGTCAGAGATGATGAAGATGGCACAGGATAGGGCCAGGTTGAGGTTAGCTGTTCTAGGGTTACTAAGAATCATACTCAGTGACACCTAACAACAACATGATGGTCTTGTGGTAAGGAGTTACGCTGCCAAACTAAAGGCACTCCTTTCTAACCCAGCAGCTGTGCTTCAGCAGAAAGATGGGCAGTCCCCCCTGTGTGATTTACTGCCTCTTAAAACCCGATGGAGGGTCAGCTATGGTTTGGATCTGACTCAACAGCGCAAAGCAACAGCTCTTTGCCAAAGAATTCCAGGTAGCATATGCATAACCCATCAGTCTGCTAACCAGAAAACCAGTTTGCCTCGACTGGGATAAAGGTGGGCAGTCTTCTCTCATAAAGAATTATAGCATCAGACACCGACTGAGGGTGGCAGTGATAGGGAACCGAGTCTGTGGCAGTGAGTTTAGTTTGGGGTCAGATGGTGTTCTGGGCATGAAGATTTTCATTCTAGATCTGGCATTCCATCCATTCAAGGCTTTCTGGTAGCCCTGTTAGTTTGTGGGTTTTTTTTTTCTTTTATGTTACTTTCAAATTAAAAAAAAATTTATACCTGTTTTTTAAAATAACAAAAACAATCAGAATGTTTCTTTTGGAGATAAACATTGGTGCTACTTGATTAAGAAAAGTCCAGTGACTTGGAAAAAAGCATACATCTTTCAATTTGTGTTTTGTCTAATAAAGCTCATTAATGTGCAATTCTAATACAAAAATGTTGCTTTAAATAATAGATGATCCCCATTAGATGGAAAATTACTTTGAGGCAATTTGTAAATAGCAGTATATTTTATTATTTAACTAAGAATCTGATGTAAAATATTTAAACTGTAATATTCTGTGCCTTGAATGAGAAAACATAGTAACCCTTTTAATTTTTGTTGATTTATGTTGCTCAAGAGTAAATAATTTTCCAGTTTTTCCAGGAAGAAAAATGTGGCTTAAATAGAAATAGAGTGCCTCTTATTTTTGATAGTCTGGGGGCCAGGAAGTTAATGGGCCAATATTTTTTTAGTAATTGTTTTCCCTTTAATATCTGCAGCTGACTCCTGAGTTCTCACAGCGCTTGAACAATAAAGTTCGAGAGCTGCTTCAGCAAATGGAGAGAGGCCTGAAGTCCGCAGACCCTCGGGATGGAAGCTGTTACACTGGCTGGTCAGGTATGACATGCTGGCCAGAAGTGAGTGTTAAGAGTGGATACGAGGCTTGAGTGTTGGCTTTGACCACTGTCTGTCCTTCAGTGCTTCACCCTCTTGCTTTGCTATCTTTTCAATAGTGCTCTGGGTTTAGTTGCAAGCTTGAATTACTGTTATCATAAATGGGAAGCAAAAATCTATGTTCAGCAGCTACACAGTTAATTTGGAGAAGGAATTAAGGAGAATCCCAAAATACAATGTGTGAAACAGAGGAGAAAGAGGATTTCTGTACAGGAAGTCAAACATGTCTAGAAGAATCATTTTTTAAAAGTAACTATATCACTTTCAAAACAGGATGTCAATATAAGAGCACAAGGTCAAGTTTAACTTCTGTGAGCTAATCATTCCCTATGGTCATTCTCACTGGTTTGAGTTCTCTGTACTCGCTATTATTGAGAGAGATTTTGAACATTTGCAGAAGATTGCAGAAGAAATAATACTTTGGAGTCAAAAGGTGAGAGAGAAACTAAAGCTGGAAAGTTAAAGAGCTGCAGTAGAGAGACAGAAAGACAGCTTTATAGCCTGCTTCAGAGACTTGGTGTTATACATTTACCTTGAAAAGTGGACAAGGAGAAACAAGTTTGCAGCGTAACATGTCTGAATTTGAATGTAACTGGAAAAGTGCATTTGCTCACTAGGCCTGACAGTGGTCTGATTCAGTGGGTCTTGATTGGTGCTCAGGAATCTATTTTACAAGCACTCAGTGGTCTGGATACAGATGACAATCTGAAGGGTCCCCACTTTGTCACCTTTTTATGAAAGAGAAATGTACTATAGTGTTCTCATGGCAAATCCTCTGTATTTGAAGGCAAGTACCCATTTAATTTGTATCAGGATTCATATTACTCACAGAAATGTTTTTCTTTCATGTTATTGTGCCTTCTATTCCTGAAAACACTGAAAAATTGCATCATGAAAGGTTTGAAATCCCAGTAAGACACTAGTCTCGAGGATATTGAAGCCAGTATTTCGTGTGTGTGTGTGTGTGTGTGTGTGTGTGTGTGTGTGTACCGTCAAATTGGATCTGACTGGTACAGGAGGAGATTGCAGTATTTCTTAAAATTAAATTTCATCTGGTGGTTCCAATGCAGTCAAATCTGTGCACTCTGGAGCCTGTATAAATGAGAAAGCTATCATAGATGGAAAACTCAAATAGTTACCACTACGCCTGGTTAAAAAATAAAATGGTAAGACCACTCTTGGTCACAGGCAGAGGGTTGGGACCCGGGAAGACAATTCCTATCTTGTTCTGGCTTCCCCAGGTTTCAGTGGACTTTGGTTTTATGAAGTTTGTGGATGTTCGAAACGTATTTAAGATGAGAATGCTATCAAAGTATTTTGCTTTAGGAGGGAGTTTATATAACATCTGTCATATACGAAGTATGTGCTAAGTTCCAGGTACAGTGTCATTGTCACATCAGTCTTGATAATGCAAGCGAGGATTTGAATATAGCAGGACAGATGCGTGATTGTCTTTAGTTTCTCCTCCAATGGCCGTGCCATAGCCATGCCTAAGAAGATTTGGGGGCCTCTCCTTAAGCAATTTGGGGTTTTTATTTACTTATTCTTGGCCAAAAAAGGAAACTGAGACAGAGAACTGAACTAGACTTGATTTCAGCACTTATTACAGAAATGACTTAAAACTCAAATTGCTCATTCAGAGGCGCTTATATTGCTGTATAGAAGGCACTTTGCTTGGGAAATAGAAAAAATAGAGGTTTCTTTCATGTTTGAATTAGTTTTAACCATGGTAGAAAAAGCTATCTGGCCCCTCTATTCCAAGAGCTAGTTGGACACTCTGGTGACGTAGTCTGTAATACAAAGGCTGCACACGCCAGCAGTTCAGATCCATCAGTGGCTCCCAAAGAGAGACATGAGTAAGGTGTGCAGCCTCAGAAACATGATGGGGTGGGGGTGGGGGTCACTGTCATTCAGAACTGACTGAGTGACAGTGAGTGAGCGGCAAAGTGAAACATTATGTTTTCCGTGGAAATAGAAAACAAATTTTGCTCCAAAACCAAAATGCAGCTTTGATGGTAATAATTTTTTGGCAGCATCGGGTTTCTGGCATTTTTCTCTTTTGAATGCTGGTTTCCTTCAATGGTTCATCCGTAAGTCTCTGGGATTCTCATTGCTGGTTCCCAAAAGCAGCTTTTATGGCAGCTACTGAGGGCAAATTTGCATACTATGCAGTTTAGGGTGTCTTCAGTTGCTGCCTATTTTATGATGTAGCATAAAATCTTCTGGATAAATTTGCTAATGGATTTCGAGGCAAGGTTCCTAATGTCTTCTAATCGAACACTGTTAAAAAGCCATTATTTCTACCTCAAATAGACTCTCTCCAGTGTTTTGATAAGTAAAATACTTGCCTGTTCCCATGTTCAGTCTAAATAGCTGAAAATTCTGAGGTACACAAGAAACTAAAGCTGATTTCATCCCAGAAGTCTATAATATTAAAACCTTTGCTGCTGCAACCCTGCCCGGAGTGCAGCTCTCAACCTACCTGTCTGCAGTTACTACCTTCAGAATGGCAAACAGGGGACCTGCCTATGGCTTGAGCCGGGAAGTGCAGCAGAAGACCGAAAAACTCTGGAGCATCACCTCCCAGTGTCGCAAGGATGTGGGCTGGCCTCCGCCTGGCTGGGAGAACTTCCAGAACTGGCTCAAGGATGGAATGGTGCTTTGTGAGCTCATTAGTGGAGTGTACTCCAAGGGCTTGCCCACAGTAAAGAAGATCCAGGCCTCCACCATGGCCTTCAGGCAGATTTAACAGATCTCTCAGTTTCTACAAGCAGCTGAACGCTATGACAGCAGCACCACTGACCTCTTCCAGACCGTGGACCTCTAGGAAGGGAAGAACATGGCCTGTGTACAGAAGATGCTGATCAATCTGGGTGGACTGGCAGAAGCCCGAGAGGAGCAGCCTTTGGGTTTGCAGTGCAGCTCTCTAACTACACCACCAGAGCTCCCTAAAAGTCCCATACAACAGAGAAAACGATCCTTTTCTTTACCGTCTCACATAGTTTGGGCATGTAGGAGGCTGTTCCTTGGAAAGGGACATCATGCTTGGGAAGGTAGAGGGATTGCAAGAAAAGACGACCCTCAACGAGATGAATTGACAGTGACTACAGCGTTGGGCTCACGTGTGTTAGCGATGATAAGGATGCCACAGGACGGGACAGGATTCAGGTCTGTTGTTCATAGGGTCGCTGTGAGTCATGCTCAGCTTAATGGCACCTAACAACAACACATTTTATATAAGAGATTTGGACATAAACTTCTATTTTTCCAGCTTCAAAAAGATCCTTGGGTTTTGTCCACTTTGGTGGATTTTAATATGGATCAATTTACCAATATCTATACAGTCACCTCAAATTTGGTAAATATTGTTTTAGCCGCTCTTCATTTCCAGGGGATGGTATTTGGATTTTAATTCAAGGCACGTTTATTCTATTTTACAAAATTTCTTTTCCATTTCAATAGCAAATAGGCTTTTCATAAAGCTTGTCCTAGAAAAGGATTACAGAGAGGCCAAAATAATAAATTTTCCAGTATAAACTGTAATTTAAATTGATGGACTGCACTTGATACTGTGAAACCTTAGAATTTTCTCAGCTTGACTAGACAGGTCTCCACTTTTCTTTCTGCTCTAAACTCTGCACTAAACTCTCTCAAGCACTTGTTTGCTTCTTGTTAGATACAGTTGTGCTGCTTTTGATTCATAATGGCCATGTGTATGGTAGAGCAAAATACTGCCTAGGCCTGCACCCTTCTTGTAGCTGTTGCTGTGTTTGAGACCACTGCTGCGGGCACTCTGCCAGACCATCTCATTGAAGGTCTTCCGCACACCTTTGCTGACTTCCTGCTTTATCAGAGTGTGATGTCCTTTCCCAGAGGCTGTCCCTTCCTGATACATGTCCAATTGTGAAATGAAGTCTTACCATCTTTACATCTAAGACGTGTCCTAGTGCTGCTCCTTCTAAGACAGATTTCATTATTCTGGCAGCCTATGGTACATTCCGTATTCTTCACCAATGCTGTAATTCCAGTGTGTGCTTTCCCTTTTGTCTTCCATTTTCATTGTCTCGCTTTTGCATGCATGAGATGATTGAAAACACTGTGGCTTGGGTCAGGCATATCTTAGTCCTTAAAGTAATACCGTTGGTTTTGGACGGTGTAGAGAGGTTCTTTGCAGCAACTGTGCTGTTAAGAGTCCATTTGATTTCTCGCCTGCTGCTTCCACGGGTGCTGATGGTGGAAGTCGAGCAAAATGAAATTTTTGTGTCATTCATTTTTCTGTCATGATGTTGCATATTGGTACAGTTGTAAGATTTTTGTTTTATGTTAAAATATAAGGCATTCATCTTTGATCATCAGTGTTTCAGTTCCTCTTTGCTTTTGACAAAGAAGATTTTATCATCTGCATATTTCGGGTTGGTAATGACTTGTTTATAGCATGTATCAATCCTCTTCAACCTGTAGACAGCTTTCTGTATTTCTGTTTCTTGACTCTAAAGAAAGCTACAAAATCAGGTCACCCAGCTTCATAATACTTCAAGTGTGCTATGCCCAGATGTGTCTCAGTTTATCTTGAAATAAAAGGTTCTAGTGAAGAGATGTGCCTCCCCTGTGTGTCTGATGTTACATAGTTGCAGTGGGAAAACGAAATTCTCCAGTCTTTCATTTCAGCAAAAATTGAGGGTAATGGCAATGGAATACTTAGAATTTCTGGTAGTGCCCTTCTCTGTTGTAGGTGCTTTGGAAAACACAAACAGAATGCTTTGTTGAATATGTGATCATTTGAAATAGAAATGCGAAAGAAAATACTCGTTTTAAAAACTGTTAAAATGTTCTGAGCTCTTAAAATAGAAGCATAAAATGAGATCAACATGAGATTTTAATACCATTTAAGTATTTTCCCAAAACCTGGCGTATTTACCTCTATGAGTTAGCATAGTGTGATT